AAGTCATTGTCATGGTCCATAGATTAAAGTCATTGTCATGGTCCATAGATTAAAGTCATTGTCATGGTCCATAGATTAAAGTCATTGTCATGGTCCATAGATTAAAGTCATTGTCATGGTCCATAGATTAAAGTCATTGTCATGGTCCATAGATTAAAGTCATTGTCATGGTCCATAGATTAAAGTCATTGTCATGGTCCATAGATTAAAGTCATTGTCATGGTCCATAGATTAAAGTCATTGTCATGGTCCATAGATTAAAGTCATTGTCATGGTCCATAGATTAAAGTCATTGTCATGGTCCATAGATTAAAGTCATTGTGATGGTCCATAGATTAAAGTCATTGTCATGGTCCATAGATTAAAGTCATTGTCATGGTCCATAGATTAAAGTCATTGTCATGGTCCATAGATTAAAGTCATTGTCATGGTCTTAATATTACAGTAATGTAATTCAATGTAAGTCTACGTACGAGGTTTACTTTTAGTTTTCCATCTCATTGATTAGTTAACTGCTATAAATTTTTAAGCGTTACCAAATTGTATTAAACTATGTTTCATTATGTCCGGAAATCGAACGCCAACCCATATATTATTTGACTTTGTGTGTCAAACCGCTTAAAATACAAAAACCATCAGAACTGGTCATTAGAGTATGCGTTTTCCTTATCTTCCACCAAGTTTTATTCTGTTTAACTCATTACACTGATGTGCGACCAAAATGACCCCTCAGTATGTCACATTATCATCTATTAAATATTCTCATTTTTGCCATAATATCAATATTTTTTTTCAACATAAATTGCACCCACAAGCTCTGTTCGACTACTTTTTATTTAGATCATAGTCAAGTATAAACTGACAGAACAAACACATTATTTTTAAAAAAAAAATGATCTTTTGGGTGCGTATAAAACATTTTTCTACTCTGAGTTGGAGTAACTTCAGTGGATTTGTGATTGTCCACAGTTTGCACGTTTTAGGCAATTTTTTTTTTCATTCAAGTACAACAGAATGTGTTAAGGATGACTGTCTTATTTGATTTTTGTGTTTCTGTTCGTTGGCAACAGCTTTAATAAAGACTTTGTAAACCAAATTACCCAGCGTGACATAAAATTGTCACTACCGCATTTTTGTTAAACAACAACCCGCCATGTCAACAACAAATGGTGACCGATTCACGAGGCAGACGAAGAAAACAGGGCAGAAGGGGATGCATTCCTGTAAAATGAAGAAAAAGATGACAGCAAGGCTTTATTCCACCTGTTGTTTTGGAAACGTTAGGACACCATGTCACTTTAACCTCACAATAAACACAAAAAAGACTAAGGTGCTGTATCAACCAGCTCAAAGTAAGCTCTACGTTGAAACCGGGATCACCATCAGCAGTGTAAACGCGGTGGATAAATTTACTTACAAGGGCAGCACCCTCTCAAGATCTGTCGTCATGGATTACTAAATGAATGTTAAACTCACAAAACCTAGTGCCATATTAGGCAGGCCCTGCAGCACTGTTTGGGACAGAAGAGGTATCAGGTGAGAAACTAATATCAAGGTCTGTAACGCAGCAGTCCTCTCGACATTGCTCTACTCATCTGAATCGTCGACAGTCTAACAGCGTGACGCCAAAAACACTAAACCACTTTCCCACAACCTGCCTAAGGAAACTTCTCGGCATCAGGTGGCACGAAAAAGTGCCTGACACGGTGGTCCTCGCTAGAGTGAACCTACCGAGCATCTTCACCACCCTGATGCATTCTCAACTGCGTTGGACGTGACACGTATCCCATATGCAAGACAACCGGCTCCCTAAACAGCTATTCTTAGGTGAACTCACGTTAGGCAAGCGGAGGTCAAAGAAATCGATACAAAGACACGCTGAAGGCAGCATTAAAGGCCTTCAGCATCAAACATTTTAAATAAATGCTGACAGCCTAGGACAGAGCAAAGTGTAGATCAACTATCAAGAAGGGGGCTCAATCTCATGAAGCGACAGCTTGGACACGCGGGCTAGGCCAAAAAAAGCTACCCTATACAACAGACTACAACAATTATCCAGTGCCCGCTGTGCAAGAGACTATTCTGAGCACAGATCGGACTAGCAAGCCATGGCCATCTGCAAACTCACCGTAACCACTCCCACCCCATAACTGGATGACTAGATGGTTCTTGTCGATTTCGACGGACACACAACGACCAAGCCCCTAATGGAGAGAGGAAGATGAATGGAGGACAGGAAATGAGTGGAGGACATGAAGATGAGTGGTGGACAGGAAGATGAGTAGAGGACATGAAGATGAGTGGAGGACATGAAGATGAGTGGAGGACAGAGGAAGATGAGTGGAGGACAGAGGAAGATGAGTGGAGGACAGAGGAAGATGAGTGGAGGACAGAGGAAGATGAGTGGAGGGCAGAGGAAGATGAGAGGAGGACAGAGGAAGATGAGAGGAGGACAGAGGAAGAAGAGAGGAGGACAGAGGAAGATGAGTGGAGGACAGAGGAAGATGAGAGGAGGACAGAGGAAGATGAGTGGAGGACAGAGGAAGATGAGTAGAGGACAGAGGAAGATTAGTGGAGGACAGAGGAAGATGAGTGGAGGACAGAAGAAGATGAGTGGAGGACAGATAGAGGAGTGGAGGACAGATAGAGGAGTGGAGGACAGAGGAAGATGAGTGGAGGGCAGAGGAAGATGAGTGGAGGACAGAGGAAGATGAGTGGAGGACATGAAGATGAGTGGAGGACAGATAGAGGAGTGGAGGACAGATAGAGGAGTGGAGGACAGATAGATGAGTGGAGGACAGAGGAAGATGAGTGGAGAACAGAGGAAGATGAGTGGAGGACAGAGGAAGATGAGTGGAGGACATGAAGATGAGTGGAGGACAGAGGAAGATGAGTGGAGGACAGAGGAAGATGAGTGGAGGACAGAGGAAGATGAGTGGAGGACATGAAGATCCACTCCTCTACATGTCCTCCACTCATCTTCCTGTCCTCCACTCATCTTACTGTCATCCACTCATCTTCCTGTCCTCCACTCATCTTACTGTCCTCCACTCATCTTACTGTCCTCCACTCATCTTACTGTCCTCCACTCATCTTCCTGTCCTCCACTCCTCTCCATGTCCTCCACTCATCTTCCTGTCCTCCACTCATCTTCCTGTCCTCCACTCCTCTACATGTCCTCCACTCATCTTCCTGTCCTCCATTGCTAAAAGAAAGTGGAAAAATACATATCAGTTTTACAAATGTGGCAGTGTATGCCCCAACCCGCTATTAGACCCGTTACGAAAACCATGTTTGGCGCCCAACGCGAGGTCGCGCGGTGTGTAGCTCGCACGGTGCCTAGCACTGGATCGGAATGTGGAAATCAGGTATCCCTTTCACCTTCCCCCCCCCCCCCACCCGGACGGTCACTATACGGCCGGCTTCTCTCGCGCATAGGGCACGATGTGCGCTTTAGTTAGAAACTCAATCATTTATTTCTCGGGAACCCTAGAGTATTAAGTCATAAATTATATCTAGTTAAGACGGGGATTTTATTCACTATACCTTAGAATATTTACAAGTCTCCATCGTTGGAGGATATTTGAACATTTAGTCATTAAAGGAGTTTTCGCCTTCATTTATAGTGGTCCCCACCCCTTCTAGTTAAAATATCTCAAAAACTATTTAACTCATAAAAATATAAAATAGCATCTTAGATAGCTAAGACAAAACTGCACAGATCACATATAAGTCGTTAGGGATGTGGACAAAGATTTTAATTATTACTCGGGATTAGTCCCCAGAGTTAGGCATTTTATCCCAGGAAACTGGCCAGAAGGCAAAACGTAGACCGACTTGGTTTAGGTCTGACGGAGGGGCTCTCTCATATGTCCGCTCACGGCTTTATAAAGGGGAGCACACTAAGTAGGGGTCATTCGAGATTGGTCAGCATCCCTGCAGTGTGCCATTGTTCAGTGCGGCCCATTGGAACGCTCTGTAAGTAGAGGCAAATACGCCATTTTATTTCTTTGTGGTTAGTAGGAACTTGTTGAGTGTTAGCACTAAAAGATTTCTGTTCAGACTTATAACCAGGATAGAGTGTAGAATAACCTACAGCGTGTAGACTTATGCTCATGCTATTTTACAGGTTAACATGCAACCGTTAAATAAATTATTTAATAGGATTAATAAATTAGATACCAGTGACCAGGGTTTGTGAGCGTAACAACCAACTGCATATCGTTCTGGGTACACATACTGCAATGCGCTTATAATATAAGCTATTGATACAACAGTATACAACCAGCGAGTGTCCGTCAAATATTTGTAATATGCTAACTTTCCTGCCGTGTGCTAAATTCTCACATAGGAAATGGTGCATGTGTGAGGATCATATTCCATATAATGATTCATTCTGCAATCTGCTGTTGTCTTAACAAGACACAGCGATGGACAGATACAAGTATCAAGCCAACGGTGGTCATACTTTATACCATCGTATTTACTGTCCTGCTATGTGGGCTTCTTACATAGACACCATACCTCGATGGCACACTATAATAACTTCAAGATCTTTAAAGTTTATGTTAGCTCTCACATCGCACTCTGGTTCTGTGTGTAGCATTAACCAAATTAAACACTGCACGTGGTTTCTTTTATAGTTAAAACATTCGTAGTACAAGATAATTATTTTTGCCATGTGTATGAAACAATACTACGTACGTATCATTTATCATGCTTTCTAATTAAGTAATCGTTGTCGCCACGTGTAATTACGTGGTTATGTATCATGTTTATTGTTAGTTATGTTAGTCAGGACATTGTTGACCTGTACTATTTGTTTATTTTCAGATATTGTCCTTTTTCTTTTTCTTCATAGTAGAGCATTAATAAAGCTATAGTCCTCGAGACCTACATTTCTTCATTTGTTTATTGGTAGCTGTCAGTGGCACTTGTAATATATCTGACCTTGATAATCATAGAATGTTTGTCTCAAAACTGTAAATGCAAACTGTAACCTACTTGCTATACTTGTCAACAAACAAGCGATAGATGTGATACTTGAGAGGTTTCAGCACACAGACATGAAGGGCTTGTTCTATAATCGCATCTATGTTCAAAATTTCATTAGTGCCAAGCTAAAATTACAACAGAAGAGAAAATACATTTCTCAAATGTTTCTTTAAAAAAAAAATCATTTAAGAAATTCACACAACTAGAATAAATCTGGACAATAAATGGTAATTATACAAATTAATTATAAAAATGTTAGTACTGTAATTAATTGTAACATTTAAGTACATTAAATGCATGTTAGTACTGTACTTAATTGCAACATATTATATACATTTGGTATCCAGATATCAAATAACAAGACTGTCTCTTCTCCTCAACTTGTTTCTCTCCCTTTCTATGAGGTCCTCAAGCTCACCTTCTCCATGTTTGACCAAATAGTTTTTTATACCTGTCATAAACTGGCGCACCTGAGAAATAGACTAGTTCTATACACTCCAGTCTTTATAAAACTAATGTCAAAACATTAAATTTAATAAAAATTGGTAATGTGGAAATATTTTCTGTCAATTAAAGAGAACAACTAGCTTTAGGCACAACTGGAGCTGTTAATGGATTGATGCCTTAACACCTGAGCTACTTACATGACACATAACACTGTGTGTTCATCCGACCTAACAACATATATGACACATCACATATTTTTTATTTATCTGACCAAACTACTTACATTACGCATGACATATTGTGGATTGGTCTCATGGCCTTCGAGAGTACACTGAATAAAGTTTTCAATAGTGCTACCAAAGATGGTCTTACAATCACCTGACAACCTGACAATGGTGGAAAACAAACAAAAGTTAGGTGACAATCTATCACATTTTACATCGGCATCATCTCTAACAATTCTTTTCAAAATTAACTTCTTAACTCTCTTTAAAAGTCACAACGTGAAGATTTGTAAAACTAACATTTGCTAAACTAACAATTCTTAAAAAAAAAATTAACTTGCTGACTCTCTTTAAAAGTTACTAAGTTAAGATATGTTAAACTAAAGTTTTTTAAAATAACATTTGTTAAACTTGCATTTGTTTAATGAAATATAAGAACAAGGTATGCTAAACTTGAATTAATAGACAGGAAAAAAGATTTGGACATTTCGGCTTAGAGCCTTCATCATTTGTTTAAGTAACATTTGTTTAACCAATATGTAAATTTTTACCATAAATATTATGAGATAAGGACACTCCAGAATGTGCGCTGCGGACATAAAATGAATGGGAGTCGCTTAGTCACTTCCTTGTTTGGTCACGTGAGGTGAGTAAGCCATCACTAGGCTGCTATAAACAACAAAAGATACTTCATCAGTGCTTCCCCAATGTCATGTTAATTAAAAATTTTACCTTTCGTAATATTCTGGAATGCAAGCGTTTTTTAAATGAAATCCATAAATGTGACAATAAATATACGTCAGTTATGATTAAAGGAAGAAAGTTATTTCAAGAAAAATTTGTGAGCGATATTCGATGGGAACTATCAATAGTAGGCCTATTATCGGCAGGATGTTGTTGAGCTCCGTGCGTGCTCATGACGTCATTTGCGTTTTTATTCAATATTGATGCAGGAGTCATTCCCCTTTGTTTATTTATTGTTAATTTTCATTGGAGGAAATGTAGTGTAGTTGTAGTGTGTATCGGGCTACTGTTGTCAAGCACTAGTGTGTGGTATACAGTATACCGGAAATCTTACTCGTTTTTACTCACATCACGTGACAAAATAATTGACTAAGTGACTCCCATTAGGGTACTGGAAACATTAATTACAGCAGAACATTCTTTAATTCAAATTTTTTTTTTTTTTTAAATATTAAAAATTAAAAAAATCTTTATTCAGGTCAATTTAAATAAAAGTTTATTGAACAAGTCTTCATTTAATTGCTCCCCCTGATTTTGTGTTGTTACTTAAAAATTCTAGGGTGTGAAAAAAGTAATAAATTGTCTTGACACGGACAGAAAACAAAAAATAATTTTATAACTTGACGCTCATTTGTGCAGGGGCGTTGGGTATAGCTGATATATACAAGGTGATTCTTTGCATTAAAATTCATAACCATCGAAAGTACCAATATATGAATAGTACTTACTTTTATAAATTAAAGGAAATCTTCTGGCTCCAAGTTTGAAGTACGCGTCCTGGCAACTTACACGTCACAGAAGTCACCAGTGTGGTGCAGTATAGTGCGGAAGAGTGAGAAATCGGGGAAAAGAAAGAAGCGTTTTAAAAAAAATATTTTTTTTTGCTGTTTCCCATTCCATTAAACATTTTTTTGTGTTGATATCATAAAACTTTTCAATAAAGTTTATAAAGTAATCAAATTTAGATAATTTATCAAATTTTAGTTTTCAGTTGACGATAAAATGTTATGACTATACTATACTATTAAAATTTATTTTAATATCCAGTATATTACTCAGTAAATAGTTGGGCTTTTTCCTCCTTAAGCATGAATTACACTGTATTTTATTTGATACTTTAAAAAAATGAATGATTGTCAAGATGCATTTTAGTTTACTTCTTCATGAGTGTCATGACTCATTCTATTTACTACCACCCCTACTAGTAATTTTAAATTAAGCAAACATCTAGATTTAAAATGGTTCAGACTCGGTTCAGTAGATTTAGTGGTTAACAACATAAAATCCAAGTTGTGAATAATCAAAGGCAACAAATGAATGACATTGAAACAGTGCTGTTAAAAAAAAAAGAATTTGAACAACTTAAATGCGAAACATTTTTGTTAACTTAAAATGAAAGCGAATATAGTAAAAACGGATCGAGACTGGAGATTCTTGTGTTTAATTTTAATTAAGGAGTCAAACCCTTATGATTATTCATAGTGAAAAAAGGAAGGTTATTAATCAATGCATTTTACAATGAAAAAAAAAATTAAATTAGTTTTCATTAACCGTAGTCATTAAGTTTCGTCAAGGCCAAGGAGCTATATTGCTAGCTATGGCAATATGCAGCTGCTTCTATAAATCATTGTTACTTCGTTCATTTTTTATTAACCTTGTACACTGTACAGCCAAAGCATAGTTTTAAATGACCATGAATAACTACCACTTGCATTGGCGTTAAGAATTCAAATAATAATACACCAAATCACCAAACCTAGGATAAATCAGCCATGGGTCACGGCTGAAATCCGTAGGCTCATCCACAGGAGAGACCGCCAATACAAACGCATGAAGAAAAATGGCTCGATGGAACTGAGAGAGGAGGTACTGAGACTCCGCCGAACCATTCAACGCTTATTGCGTAGATCGTATTGGAACTACATGAACGGCATCTTCTCAGAGGAAGACACCCCGACCAAAGATGTCAAGAACAAGCGCTTCTGGAGCTATGTGAAACACCAAAAGTCCTCAAACGCTGGAGTTTCCCCCTTGAGGTGGGATGGCCAATTGACATCTGACCCAAAAGCACAGGCGGAGATACTCAATCAGCAGTTCCAGTCGGTCTTTGGTGACGGTAGAGAGTACTCTGAGACTGAGTTCCTTCTGAAAACCAAAATGATGAACAGAGCCTATCCTATCATGGGAGATATCCAGATATCAGAACAAGGTGTGTTTGCCCTCCTCAATACCATTAATCCTTACAAAGCATGTGGTCCTGACCACATTAAACCACGAGTGCTCAAAGAATTAGCCAAAGAAATCGCTCCTGCACTGACAATCCTCTTCCAATCGTCACTATGCACAGGAAATGTTCCAGCAGACTGGAGAACAGCGCATGTCACTCCAATTTACAAGAAAGGGGAGCATTCCGACCCTGCCAACTATCGTCCGATATCCCTCACTAGCGTCGTCTGCAAATTGTTGGAGCACATAATCGTAAGCTCTGTCATGAAGCATCTTGAAAGCAAAAATATACTCAATGACTGTCAACATGGCTTCCGAGTCAATAGGTCATGTGAGACCCAGCTTCTCGAATTTGTAGAAGACTTGATGACCAATCTGGAGAACCACAAGCAGACTGACGTGCTAGTAATGGACTTCGCAAAAGCATTTGACCGGGTGAATCATAGTTTGCTTCTACACAAACTCCAGATATATGGGATTCAAGGCACCACTAAAACATGGATCTCTAGCTTCCTCAGCCACCGACGCCAAGCAGTAGTGGTGGGCGGTACAAGCTCCTCCTTTGTCAATGTGAAGTCAGGGGTCCCCCAGGGATCAGTCCTGGGCCCCTGTTTGTTCCTAGCATACATTAATGACCTACCGGAGAAACTGACATCACAGGCAAGACTGTTTGCAGATGACACAGCAGTGTATAGGACGATCGCCAACAGATCTGACCAGGACCAGCTACAACAGGATCTCAATCTGTTAGCTGAGTGGGAGATGAGCTGGGACATGGAATTTCACCCTGCCAAGTGCCAGACACTATCAATCTCTAGAAGTTGTACTCCTCTACACTACCAATACAAACTGCACGGCCATATTCTTGAGCAAGTTTCCTCCGTAAAGTACCTGGGTGTTACCATTCAAAGAGAGGTCCGATGGGATGAACATATTAACAATGTATGTAACCAAGCAAACAAGACCCTAGGGTTCTTAAGGCGAAATCTAAAGATTGGCAACTCCTGTGTGAAAGAAAGAGCATATAAAGCCTTTATCCGTCCGATTTTAGATTATGCATCTTCAGTCTGGGACCCATTTACCCAGAAGAGCATTGACAGGTTGGAGGCGGTCCAGCGACGAGCAGCACGCTTTGTCCTAAACCGCTACAGGAATACCTCAAGTGTTGGCAGCATGCTAGAAACACTAGGCTGGTCACCATTGGAGAAACGACGACGACAATCCAGGCTCTCCATGATGTACAAGATAAATAATGGGCTGGTCCACTGTTCCAGTATTAAACAGAAACTCGTACCTCTCCCCCATAGACAGCGACGAGGCCATGACAGGCAATTCAGGCTCATACCAGCAAGAAGCCAGTATAGGAGCTGCTCATTCCTGCCCAAGACAATCAGGGACTGGAACAATCTTTCAAAAGGAACGGTTGAGGCGACAACACTAGACACATTTGTGTCTATTGCCTCAAGCCTTCAAACCCCCAGTGCATGATTCCCTCACAAAGTGGCACTGGAAATCTGTGAAATTTCCTCATCAACACCAGGAACAGAAACATTGCAAATCCCATCTACATGCATAGGAGCCAAAATGATCAATAAATTGATCGTGGGCCCTTAAGATATAGAAGAAGAAGAAGAAGAGGTCTAGGTCTATATTTCTGTACAACAATTTATTGGTACTAGTTTTAGTTTTAGAAAAAAATCGTATTCGTAATTTGTTCAATTTCAAAAAAATTCTGTGGATTTGGTTAAAAAGGTGTTTTAAAGTACTATATCTAAGAGGCAATTTTTAATTTATCTGAAAATAAGTTATAGTATTTT